TGCTTATCCTATAGTGCCACAACAGAATTCTATCAAGTCTTCATAATACTTGTCATATAGCAGATATTTGATAATCTTTAAAATGTAGAGGATGGAGAAATGAGAAACCACAATCAAGAGATGTTTTGTTTTTGTTTTTGTTTTCCATCATGAGATCTCAACTCTAGACCAAAAATCATAAAGAATTAAAACACATAATAATACAGTTTGGTTTTTTCTTTAACTTTTATTCATTTAGAATGCAATTCTGGGTCAATCAACAAACAAGAGAAAACACTAAATCTTGAAGTAGTGTTAACAGGCTGAATAATGTAATTGCATTGTTCCTATACGTATAAGCAAAACATGACTTTTCATTCCTTTCATAAAACTTCTTGGTAAACTAAACATTTACATTTTCTCCCCATCAAAAACGCATTACCAAAATCATGCTTATATAGCTAGTCAGCAGATGAGACAAATGACTATTTATACTGAACTATTTAAGTCTTGCTGTGGCGTGCTCACAATCCTAAACTGAAAGGTATTGACCTTTTCAATGGCATTCATTATGTGACAATGCCACCAACCATATTAGAAGAACTTCACTCATTTTTAAAAGCTAGAATTACTCCAAAGTTCTGTACTGTAAATAACACATGGAATATTGCATTTAAATTCAAGCTGGCAAGATTACTAACAACTTTTCTGCAGTCTTCTGTATAATATATGTAGGAAAATGAATGTTCTATAAGATAATGAAAAGATCAAGTTATTATATTTTTACCTAAGACTCTAATTATGTATTTTAAGTAATCCTGATTAGCATTTAGTGATTAAAAATAAATCATTCAGTGTTGAATGTTAACTGCACCAAATTAAAAAGAAAATGGCCACATCACATCATAATATACTATATATGATAGGCTAAAATAGCTAATTAGAAGTCTTTCTAAAAATTTAAAGTTTCTGACATCATTTTCCACCATTCCATCAATTCTTCCTTCTCTTCTTCTTTTCTTTCAGAAAATGACTCCAGTTCAAAATCAACCTAAATGGAAAAAACAAACATTTTATTTATTAAACATCACATGTACCTGTATATAAAAAATAATGAACAATTTTAAAGTTTACAGAATAAACTCTATCTAGTCACCTAAATTTAAGATCTTAAAAATCTCTAATAATAGATTTTTTTTAAAAATGCTTACAAATGGGAAAAAAGTAAAAACCCATTATGCTTGAAATATGCTTTAATAGCTTTGAAACATTATTTTAAGCAAAATCCTATGTTCTAGTATTTTTTACTACCTAAAAGATATGACATAATTATTTTTCTGTTTTTAACTATTCTATCAACCTTGAATTTTCTCCTAATAGTTGGAAGAATATGGAAGCATCCAGAATATCAATTCTGGTATTCCAAACCACAAGGTTCTGTTTTACAGAATCTCAAATCTGCTAAAAAAACTGATAGAATCATATACATCTCCAAACCACCATATAGGTCCTGGCCCAGGAACTCAACTCGTTTTTGTATCTTTATCTCAAGTCTTTAATATGTTTATAGAGAATCCAAATCCATCTGCACAAGAAACTCCAAACCAAACTCACTGCCATCGAGTGGGTTCCGACTCATTGCAACCCCATGTGACACAGTAGAATTGCTCCCCAAGGCTTCTAAAGCTGTAGATCTTTAAGAGGACAGTTTCATCTTCTTCCCCACAGAGTAGCTGATCTTGCCGTCAACAGGCCAACACTCATCCCAAGCACCACTAAAGCTCCTTTTCCCACAAAAGGGACTATTCAAAATATGTAGCTTTCTACTTCACCTCCAATTCTCCTCAGGTCCTCAATTCCAGATGGGACTAAGAGTTCATTTATTTGGACAGCTGATCTCATAGTTATTATTTGTTGTTGTTATTTTTGTTAAGTGACATCAAGTCAGTTCCAACTCAAAGCAACCCTGTGTAGGGTTTCCAAGGAGCAGCTGATAGGTTTGAACTGCTGACCTTGTGGTTTGCAGTCCAGTGCTGATCCTACAGTGCCCGTGGATATACTCACTACCTGAATGATAACACATGCTACACAGACTAAGGATCAAGATAGCTGAACTCTTTACGGCCTATTTCTGGAGGTACTTTTTGCCAGATTTCATTTGCCCAAATCAACGACTTGATTTTAATACATACATGACCTACTGTACATACACCTAATCAAAACCAAACACCACATAAAAACTCAAAGTATCTTGTTTGCTAAAATCAAGAATTTATACTCCAAATTTGCGGTATATAAATAAAAATATGATAAATTATTTTTAATAAGCCTTTTGATTAGAAGTCCTGTAGGTCATCCAATGGCCCCAGTAATGTAATACAGTAATGTAATCATTAATGTAATGTAATGAGAGGGCTTAGAAAAGTTCATGGAAATATGTAATTAAAAGATGATGACATTTTTCCATAAACTTTTTGAAGACCCCTCACAGTAGTAAAATCCTACTCTAAGAGAAGCTTTGGTTTCATCACCATACTCTTCCTAGCAATCAAAATGGGATCTACTTAATTTTAAGATGCAATTATATATATATGGAGCTCTGGTAGCGTAGTGGTTACGAATCGGGCTG